TTTTTTATTTTAATCTGCTGTATTAAAGAATGAATGTTTTTTTGAGGTCTTTTCAGTTGTTGATTCTTCTTTTAGTTATTAATTGAAACTTTAATTGAAAACAAAAGCTTAGTTGTTTATCCAAGTTTAAGATTGAATTTTGTTCTAATTAATTTAGAAACTTTTTTTTGTTTTATTTAATTTTGTTTTGTAAATCTTGTGTATTCAAGATACCTTCTTATGTGTAAGCAAAAATTAGTTTTAACCCGTTATGATAATTTCTCCAAACCGATATTTTAATTTAATTTTTATTTAAAGAGAATGTTAATCGTCTAACGTTTTGAATAACGATATTTATTTGTAACTTCCTATACAATATCAATATAATTTTCCTAACTTTAATAAATAAAATGATGTTGATACAAATAATATGTTTATTGTTATTGCTAACGATAGGGATGTTTTAATAATATAAATTATTTAATACTGAAAGTACGTTGTCAACAACGATAAAAAAATGTGATATAGTAACAAAAACAATAACAACAATATTCTATACTTTTGATAGAATAGATGATTAAAATCATTAAAAAATTAAAATCATAACAAATTTCTAATTTTCATAATAATTAATTAGAAATTAATTACCAGTTATCGATTTGGAGAAATTATAATAAAGATTAAAAATAATTATTCTCTGAATAAGATTCGAATAAATTGTTATTCGAGATTGAAGTAGAAATCGAATTTTTGTTCCGAATTGGAAGATGCTTTAATTATTGACAGTTAATCGTTAGTTGTGTCAGTTCTCGATTAATAATTAATTTAATAAGCTTTAATTAAAAATTGAACTTAAACTTCCAGAAACCATTCAATTTACAATTACGGTTTAATTCTTATTTAAAGAACATTCAATTATCAAGTACATTGATTAATTTTTGATGGGCTAATTAGAAGTCTTGAAATCCTTATTAGAGGTGTTATGTTCCTGTCATCGTTTCATTGTGTCGTAGCTTAATCTCAAATGAATTTTGATTGAATATCTTTGCTCAATATCTAAGTATTTTCTAAGATGTATTATTCCTTAAATTTGTAAGTTGAAGTTTATTTGCATATGTTATACGCTCGAAATATTCCCGTTGCTTGCTGTTCAACTAAAGATTGATCTCTCTGAAAAATGATTTATTGTTAATCGCTTTTTGCAAACGCGTAATTGATACTGTGGATAATTGTTAAATAAATTATTCAAGGTTTGAATATTTCTCAAACACGAGAGAACTGCATTTTGAATAATGCGATATGCATTTCTGTAAAAATGAACGCATTTCATTGCCATTTCCTCGAATTTTTTTCATAACGCGAACTGATATTCTAAAATATTAATTTACAATAAATCCATGCGCTACAATAAAATTGTGAATTGGTACTTTATAATTAAATTTTACAAATTGTTAGATTGTTAAGCAACCTTTCGAAACGGATGTACGTGTGTCCTTTGCTTTTTTCTTCTTAATAAAATAGCGAATTAGTAAGTTTTGTTAAATTTGGCTGCGCAGTCATACAATTAACAGATACATTATACTGATGTTACAAGTTATAGATAAATACGTATATAGCAAATCGTTGTTTTATCATAATACGTCTCCTTGTACATAAGTTTAAATATACAAATATCTGGTTCACTATATTTACTTCTACCGTCACTTTTCCTATCTTCCATTTTTTTTTCTCCAAGCAAACATTTTCTTTCCTTAATTTCTCAAGCCGTATTACTACATTATAATTATAGAGAATAATATATTATACTTATTTAGTTATACGTTAATAATGTGCTCCAAACAATGATATTAAAATATTTCTTCTCACTTGACTCTAGGAATCAAAACGAATCTTCTTTTTAAAAAGCGCGCCAAAAGCTTATGGCAGTGACGCGTTGAAACGTCAGTCGACTGTGATGTTAAAATACGAGGAAACATCAGCATACCGTTATGTTCCAATTCTAGCTAAATTTTGCAAACAAACTCCTTTCATCTAAAAGAAATATCTGTGAGAACGGTTTTTAGCGATTTGAACGAAAAATTTTTACCATTTCAATATTATTCTCTATATTATCGACGAGAGGTAGTATAGTGTGCAAACTATTCTGAATACATAATCCGCATTTGCGGACTCATGGAATATATTACAAACATCGTAAAGTCAGTATTAATAAATATATAATGAATACATAGTATATTAATCAATGAAATCAGTATTAATTGACTTTCACGAAATTGAACGAGTGGCACCATCTCTCGGGCGAACAGGGCGAACTAGGCACTTTTGAAACGGTACTTTAATTAGTTCTCATATTTTACCGCTAGATGACAGCACATAAGAAATATGCCGACATATCCGTTTTAGCGTCCCGTCGGAAAATGCATTTCCGCACGTAAGAGTGGCATTCGAGCAAAGCGCGAGCAAATTCAATTTTGCATTAAAGTCTACGAGGATATGGTTTTTCGGTAATTTTTCCTCCGTGGTATGCGCGGGCGGCGCATAGGAGGAATATACACGACAATGAGTATGCAAAATCGTTAATTACTCACTTTCTGAACATAGTTTATACACTTTTATGATTAAAGAATGGTCGGCAATGCATTATTTACATTGTACGATCATAAAAGTTCATAAATAATGTTCGGGTAATGAGTAATTAATTATTTTGTGTCAGCATTCCGATACGTACATGAGCCGCCTATGTCAATTCTACTGCGTATGCAAAATGCAATATTTCGACACTTTGACGACGTAGTATGGTTCCTGAGGCATTTAGAAACAAATTTCTGTTATGGTTTGATGCGTTTTGATGCCTAATAAAGCCAGGAAATCAATTTTTG